CTGGGTGGCTCAGTCGTTAAGCATCTGCCTTTGGCTCAGGTCATGATCCCAGGGTCCTGGGATCAAGCTCCGCATCGGGCTCCCTGCTCGGCGGGAAGCCCGCTTCTCCCTCTCCCACTCCCCCTGCTTGTGTTCCCTCTCTCGCTGTGTCTCTCTCTGTCAAATAAATAAATAAAATCTTTAAAAAAAAAATATTATTTAAATGTAAAGCATAACTACACAATGCTAACGAACAGAGTAATAGTTGGAAATTTAGTGGCCATGGTTTATTAAGTACACACACACACACACATATGTCTCTGCCCATATATGTGTGTCAATAGATATATACTGGAAAATTTAGTATTAAATTTATCATTAAATTATTAAAGAGAACAAACCTCTATATCTACTGGTTTTTACTCCAGATGTCAAAAGCAAAGATATCTCATTTATAGGTATCATTATTACTGTGATAAATTACAAAAGAAATTAAAATCCAGATTGAAACTGAAAGTCCAACCAATGTTAAACTTTTAATAGGGTGTGTTCAATTAACCACTAGATTAGTATTTTGATAGCAGAATAGCAAAAATGCTACAAGTATGTCCATCAGACTGCCTAATTATTGATAACAGTAAAGAAAAACGATCCTTCTCTTAAGTATACTTGATATACTAGAAGCATACTCTTACCTGGTTCTGAGTTGGTAGTTTATTATGTAGGTGACAGAAACACTGGTATGAAAGGAGAGCACCGAAAGACGCCCCGAAACACAGTCGATAAAAGGCACGCAATGACGCCAGCACTCCGTGCTGGGGGACTGAAATTAATAAGGCACGAGAAATTTCAGGAGTCCTGCCTGCCCCGTGGCGTCTGGGCTACAGGTTCTAGAGGCCACGCCTGAGTTCAGCGGGGGTCGCAGCAGTTTGCACAGCAGGGCCAGTGGCTGACTCGGGGCCTCCACGTGCAACAAGGGCTCTCAGGAGGAACGGCTGTCCTGGGCAGCCTGCTTGGCTGTGACAGCATGTGGGGGCAGGGCCGGCCCTGAGGCTTGCCGCCTGCACATGTCCTCCTGGCAGGCTGACGGCAGCAGAGCGTCACAGGAGCGAGCTCACTAACAGGCCTACCATAAGCCCAACCACCCACATTTCCTGGCGAGAGCCGCGACGGACGCTCGCGATACCCGTGCACCTGGACGTCCCGTCCTGTTCCCCGGATGAGAGGTGGACGCGGTTCCAGAAGCGCCAGGACCAGTTGAGGTAGAAGGTGGAGGAACCAGAGCTCGGCTTCATCTCCTTCTTTAGGTAAGTTCATGCACTTCGGGGAGTAAAGGGTTCTGTATTATTCAAGATTTATGTCCAGCAACTGCATTTTGGGAAATTATTTTGAAGAAATAATTTTTAAATGAACAAGTATTTATGTAAGAAGGCATTAACACGGTGCATTACGTTGGAATTCTCTTATAAATACTGAATATTCAAATATTGTGTCGTTACTGTCTTAATAATATCACACCTGTGAACTGTAACTAATACAATGGAATTATATTAAAAATTAAAAACATTTACATGAAACTTTAAATGCCATCAGAATATTTAATTATATAGTGTTCATTGGGAAAATTAGAATAAGAATGTATAATTATGATGAAACAGCAAAAATATGGCACATATTTATACACATGAATATATGATCAAATATATTACACTTTTTATCAAATTATATTTGATATTAAATTATCAAAAAAATTAATAAATTCTTAGAGATACTCAAGTGCACTGAGAACATTTTATTCCTCAAATGACTCCAAAATGTGCATCAGAACTTGCATAAGGAATGTTAATATTTAAATTGATCTCTGTACAAATGAAATCAATAAATTTTTAACAATAAAATAAATATGTTAAAACAATTTAGAGTGACAGAAAGCTGAAAAAATATTGCTTCATTTATTCCAATTGAATTTTCAGTGGATCATCTTAAATATTAAATATCTAAACTATATCTTTTGTCTTACATTGTTGCTGTGACTTGAACAATTCAATGCTGAGTAGTTAGAGATATACACACATGTACACAAATATATAATTTTTGAAATAAACACTAAACTGTTGCTTCATTTATTATATGACAGTTTCTTAGAGACAAATAAAGCACCATTTCCATTTCTTTCTGTTCTGAACAGGTGAAAATGACAGCAAAATCAATAAAGAGAATTGTAAGGTCAGGATAAAGAACATTCTCAGTTCAGATCTTAATTTCAGGAACAATTTGCCATGACATCTGTGTAGTCTCTTCATGAAAGTTTAGCAGATCTGACAGCTAATTAATTATAAAGCAAGATTAGAGACTGGACAGAAGTGCTGGCAGAGGAGAATTCATTTTTTGTGTCAACGTGTTTCATTATATTCATTTTCTTAGGCCTGAAACACATACTGCTAGTAAATTATTGTTTATCTTTAAGCTCAAAAAGGAAATCGAACATGACATGAACAATTACCAAGATATTCTCAGAAAAATGCATTTAAAAAATAAAAAAAGAAAACAAATTAGAATTATGTGACATCTGAGATTTCCCTGTGTTTTTTGTCTAAATTATTTGCAGTGTGCAAAATTACTTGATTTTAAAATCATAACAGATGGAAATTTAAAACTATCAACAGAAACAAAGTGCATATAAAAGATCACAAATTAAATATAGATACAGAAATTATAGATTGTGATTTAAGAAAACAAAGTTCAAGGTAACAATATTATTATAAGGAGCTAAATAGGAAAACTGCTGGTAGGAAACCAATATTCCCCATTGTCAGTAATTCAGAAATATGTATTGAGCTAATCAAAATCCTCTTTTTATGTATCACTGGATAAAATAAAACAAGCAAAATAAAAAAACTTGTTACTTGCCAGTAAAGTTTATTCAAAATTATGTTCTATTAAAAATAAATGCAGAGACTTCTGGTTTCCAGTTAAGGATGTAGGAGTTTGAAGGTGGCTTCTCTGTCCTAACTACAAGTAAAAACCTATACAAACTGAAAAATCGATGCTCCTAGATCTGGAAGTGAAGCTAGGTCATAAGACAAACAGCTGCCTCCAAAATTGATGAGACAGACAAAAAATCACAACTTACTGGAGCAGAGACCTACTAGAAGAAATCTTAGCAGGAACCAGTGCCAGGCTAAAAAAATCTAATTTTTAATTAATGATTTGCAAGAAGGTCAAGGTGCACAAGCCTGAGAGTCAAAAATTCTTAGAGGACTCGGTAATAGGAGGACGCCATGCTTTTGTGAGTTTAAAAACACCAGGAGTTCAACCAGATTATAGAGTAAGTATCAGAGAAAAAAAAATCCTCTTAGGCTTCCATGCTTCCGTGAGGGGGAGGGGAAAGGAACCATTTTGAATATGCCAGAGCACTCTGTTCTTAATAAGGTCTGCTCTCAGAAGAAACAGTTTATCCAGAATCACACCTAATGTGTTTAATTAGAGTCCAACTAACCTAGGAAAATGGAAAGACCCAACTCTCACTGGCTCTAGCCTTTCATGTGAAGAAAAGAAATACCCAACCCCAGTCCACTTTGGCCATGCTGTGCCACCTAAGCAGGGAGGGACTGAGAAGCACTTGTGAAGTACATACTACAGAGGCACAGTCTCATTAACAGATGGAGACCTAATCATAGGACTGTAGAACACTTCTAATGTACCAACATCTTACTACCACATTACTAAATGTTCCTTTTACGCAGTGCATCACACCCGGCTATCAAGAAAAAAATTCAAGACCTACTAAAAGTCTGAAAACAGTTGGAAGAGACAGAGCAAGCATCAGAACGAGGCTCAGATATGGCAGGAATATTGATATTATCAGATAGGAATTCAAAACAGCTATTACTAATATACTAAGTACTAGTACTAATGTACCAAGAACTCTAATAGATAACATTATCTGTCTTTCATGAAAGAACATATAGGCAAAAACAGAGGCTGTAAATTCTAAGAGAAAGTCAAAAAGAAATACTAGAGATCAAAAGCACTATAACAAAAATGAAAAATGCCTTTGATGGACTTACTAGTAGGCTAATTGGACAGGCTAAAGAAAGGATCTTTGTACTTGGGGATATCTAAATATAAACTGTTAAAAGTGAAAAGCAAAGAGAAAAAAGACTAGGTGGGGGATTTAAGGGGGTGGGGGAGAAAAATCCAGAACAGTCTATCAAGAACAGTGGGATGGCCACAAAGGGTATGACATATATCTAATGGCAATACCAGAGGAGAAGGAAGAGAGAAAAGAATAAAAGAAATACTTGAAGCAATAATGACTGAGAATTCCTTACACTAATGTGAGACACCAAACCATAGATTCAGGAAGCTCAAGAACACTAGCAGGATAAATGCCCCAGAAATCTAAAGAGGCCTATATCTATTTTTAAAAGTTTAATCTATTGATAACCAACCAAAACAGAAATCACCAAGCCAAGATGGGTTCACTGAGGATTCTACCCAACAAATAGGAAAGAAATTGTACCAATCATTTATAGTCTACTTAGGAAGGAAGTAGCCAGAAGGAATGTTTCCTAATTCATTCTGTGAGGTCAGCATTACCATAATACCAAAACCAGACAGACATTAGAAGAAAAGATACTACAGACCAATAGGGTTCATGAACACAGATGCAAAAATCTTCATCAAAAAATTCTCAAATAAAATCCAAACATGTATAAAGGAATTATTTACCATGATCAAATGGCATTTATACCACATATGCAAGGCTTCTTCAAAACTCCAAAACCAGTTATGGTAATGTATCACATCAACAGGTTAAAGAAAAATCACATGATCATAACAATAGATGCAAAAAAAGCATTTGTCGGGGTGCCTGGGTGGCTCAGTCTGTTAAGCATCTGCCTTTGGCTCAGGTCATGAACCCAGGGTCCTGGGATCAAGCAGGGACCCCTGCTCAGCCAGGAGCCTGCTTCTACCTCTCCGTCTGCTGCTCCCCTGGTTTGTGCTCTCTCTTGTGTGCGCTCACTCTCTCTCTCTCAAATAAATTAATAAAAAAAATCCTAAAAAAATTTTAAAAAGGCATTTGTCAAATCCAACATCCATTCATGAGGAAAAACTCTCAGCAAACTAGGAATAGAGGGGAGGTTCTCCACCTTGATAAAGAACATCTACAATAAACCTACAGTTAACATAATACTTAAGGGTGAGAAACTTGAAGTTTTCCCACTAAAATCAAGAATAAAGCAAGGATGTCGTTTCTCACCCTTCTTTTTCAACATCATACTAGAAGTCTGACCTAATTCAATAAGAAAAGGAAATAAGTATGCAGATTGGGAAGGGAGAAATAAGACTGCTGTTGTTCTCAGATTGCATAATTGTCTATGTAGGAAATCCAAAATAATCCACACACAGAAAATAAACCTCTTGGAACTAATAAGTCATTATAGTAAGGATGCAGTATACAAGGTTGATATACGAAAGTCTAGACACCAACAATGAACAAGTAGAATTTGAAATTAAAAACACGAAACCATTTACATGAGCAACCAAAAAAATGAAATAATTGGGTAAAAACCCAAACCTAATAAAATACATGCAAGATATATATTAAGCAAACTACAAAACTCTGGTGAAATAACTACGTAAAAAATGGAGAGATATTCCATGTTCATAGATAGGAAGACTCAATATTGTAATGTGTCAGATCTTTGTACTCTGATCTATAAATTCAGTGTCATACCAACAAAAATCCCAGCTAGTTATTTTGTGGATAGCAACTAACAGATTGTAAAATATATATGGAGAAGCAAAAGACCCAAAAAACAGCCATTTTGATATCATTAGTTTTTGATGTAATGTTCAACGATTCATTAGTTGTGTATAACACCTAGTGCTCATCACAACTCATGCTCTCCTTAATACCTATCACCCGGTTACCCCATTCCCCTAACCCCCTCCCTTCTGTAACCTTCAGTTTGGTTCCCGGAGTCCAGAGTCTCTCATGGTTTGTCTCCCTCTCTGATTTCTTCCCATTCAGTTTTCTCTCCCTTCCCCTGTGGTCCTCCATGCTATTCCTTATGCTCCACATATAAATGAAACCATATGATAATTGTCTTTCTCTGCTTGACTTATTTCACTTAGAATATTCACCTCCAGTTCTATCCATGTCGATGCAAATGGTGGGTATTCATCCTTTCTGATGGCTGAGTAATATTCCATTGTATATATGAATTACATCTTCTTTAGCCATTCATCTGTTGAAGGGCATCTCGACTCCTTTCACAGTTTGGCTATCGTGAACATT